TACTGTCAATTTTATAGAAGTTAAAACTCTTAAAAACAAATGAGACTGGAGAAAATAGCACCTACGGTTGGAGCATGTCGACAAGGCTGCAAAAATAGAAGATTGTATCACATTAGACTTTCATGTTTGTGAAGGAATACCATATATAAAGCATGAAGGGGAAAATATATTTGTAAATGGCCGTTTTTTAATTCTATAATTGAAAAATAGTCATCGCCCGAAGAAAAACTCCAAAATAATAACTTGAAATTACATTGGTTGTATTAATCTTGCATGAAGTAGCCCACCATTTTTGGCCCATCCCATTTATTGTTCCTCCTCCTTGTACAGTGAGATGTCTCACTTTAACAAAATAAAGCCATTTATGTGCATCCAATTTATCCCATACTTTTGGATCTTTTGGTGCTACTATTGAACCTTCAATCTGTAATTTTAATTGCAAAAAATATTATATATCTATGTTGCAAAACTTTAGCATTGTTTAAGACTTAGTATTATAAATAAATACTTACTATTAGAGAAACCTTTGATCTGCAAGGCCCAACAAAATCAATTGGTCGAACTAAGAATGAATATCCAATTGGGACTATAATTTTTGGTCGTAAGAATGAAGAACACGCCTTTTTCCAAACATCTTGAAAAATCTGTAAAATACATACATAAAAGGTAAGTACCAACATTAATTAACAGTCGCAACTATAAATAGACTCATGACTATGGTAGAGCACAACGCTACCCCTACTCTAACCAAAATACTAAATTCTCTTAGATACACATATCTTAACCATCCGTTTTTGCTCCTTTGATAACTCAAACTTACAACTTTAGAGTTGAAAGTAAGGGGTGTTTACTATCGTCTATCTAAGCAACTTCCTCTTATCCATGTGTTGTTTCACATGAATTGAATCAGTATCTTTTCTTAAAAAAAAGACCTAAAGTTAGAAATTTATTGATAGGTACTATTGCACCGATGCCCAACTAGAATACGACTATTGTGTGCGTATCAGTGGATGAGGATGGTAAGCATAATGAGAATATTAAATAGAGTTACTTGCAGTTATCTTTTGAATGATCTGACATACTTGCATTTATTTTTGAATGATCAGTATAAATATTACGTAAACGCAAAGATTAATGATTTGACCCGAAAAAGGAATTACCTTAGTGTCATCGGTGATGCCATCTCCTTTGGCTCCAAATTCATTCACGTAAAGAAGGGATAATGATTTGTCTCTTGAATCTTTCAATGTAGGAAACTGAATGAAGGAATCAAAACTGTTCACATTTACAAAAAGCAAGAAGGAAAACATAATACTATATAGTAGTGATGCAAAAATAGAAACATTATAAGATCTCATGATCAGCTCCCCCGTCTAATTCTGTTAATTAATTAAACTGACAAAACCAAAGGGGATTTATATTAATGTATCATACTTGACAATATTCAAGGTCATTTCTATTTTTGCGTCACTACTATAATAGTTATGAAAGGAAGGTTCCAAGAAAGTAATTAAAAAAAGAATTGGGAATTTCCTACATTGGCAATATTGTATATTAGATTTGAGCAAATAATTCAATCCCATCACTGCTATCTTTATTAGTATCAACAGGCTAAGTTTCAACCAAATCCGTAAAAACTTACGTGTATATGGTGTTTATGTCAAGTCAATATAATATGCATGTTATATAATATGTATTTAAATATAGACTTTTTTTGTGTAATCATGATTAATTGACATGTATTTTTTTACTTTTTAAACTACTAGTTAACCATAATAATTTGTATTGATTTGATATAAGTAAGTTCATTAAAGTTGATATTCAATTTGTTTATCTGGTTTTGACTTGATACGTAATTTAAAAAAGAAAGGATTTTTCAAGTTTATAGTCTTAAACTAAAGATATGTAGAACTTACCAAAATTATCTTTAATCTTGTGGTTTCAAACATATAAGGTGAAAAATTAAAATTAAAGAGTTGCTAAAATATAAAAGAGACATTCTTTTTTAAACATATAGTTAAAATAAGCTGGACTACTTTTCTATTATATAGAAGAGTGAAGTGGTAGGACGACCAAGGGTAAACATGTAATTTCATTCTAACAAAAAAATATTAAGAAAGATAGTAAATAATTCTAGAAACATCTTTCTATATATGAAGTGAATAATGATCAAGAGTAAAAATGTAATTTCACCCTAACAAAAATCTACCAAGAATGATAACAAGAAAATTAAATAGTTCTAGAAACATCTTTAGTTATTGTTATTACCATTAACTTATTTTGTGATTAAATCACTTTCTTTTCTTTTGTGAGTTATTGTGATATCTATTCAATACTCTATTTTACTATTACTTTAATATAATTCTTAATATTTTTTTCTATTCATTATGCTTATCAAAAATGCCTACTTTTAATATAAAATTAATTATTTTCACCTTTATTTTGGTCTCTAATTAATATACTTGAAAATAAATAAGTGTGATAAAATTAATAATAAATATTAGATTGAAATTAAAGAAAAAGATGTTAAAAAGTAACTTTACAAATAAAAATGAATAGGATGATATGTTTGCATTTAAGACGACCAAGAATAAAAATGTAATTTCATTCTAACAAAAATCTATTAAGAGAGATAGCAAGAAAAATAAATAATTCTAGAAACATCTTTCTATATATGAAGTGAATGATGATCAAAGGTAAAAATGTTACTTCATGCAAACAAAAAATCTACCAAGAATGATAACAAGAAAACTAAATAGTTCTAGCAACATCTTTAGTTATTGTTATTACTATTAACTCATTTTGTTATTACTTCACTTTTTTTATGAGTTATTGTGATATCTATTCATTACTCTATTTTACTATTACTTTAATTTAATTCTTAATATTTTTTCTATTCATTATACTTGCTAAAAATACATACTTTAATATAAAAGTTCATTATTTCAAAATATAATTAATTATTTTCACTTTTATTTCTCAATTAGTTTACCTGGAAAGAAATAAGTATGATAATTAATAATATATATTTTGCAATTAAAGAATAAATAAAATTAGTTTCAATATTTAAAAATATATATTTTAAAAGATGTTAAAAAGTAACTTTACAAATAAAATGAATAGAATGGTATATTTGCATTTAAAGTAAAGTAAAAATATTTACTAGATTATAAAAGAGTAGTTCTTCATTAAATTATATAATCAAATTTTTACTTTTATTTGATTTCAAACATATTAATCTGAATAGTGAAATAATGTAAGTTTGATTTAAATTTAAAGTTGTCCGGCTAAAATTTGGTATTTTTCTATTATATAGAAATATAGAAATATGAAGTTGAGGACAATCAAGGATAATATGGTCATTTCATATATATTTCATTTTAAAATTCTATAAATTCTATTTTTAAAATTTGTCAACAAAAATAATAATTTAAGTGGCTAAATTTCCTCCACAAGTTGCATGATTATTTTAGAAATTATAAATTATAAGATTTTTCTAGAACTAAGTATGACACAAATAAATAGACACTAACTCATTCTTGATTTCATTCACTCCTCAATTCTCTCCCTCTCATGTCTTATACCAATAAATTTCTCGCCCTTTATTTCTAATTTACATCCTAATATTACACACTTCGGTATAGATCTCTTATTAGGAAGATCAATAATGCAATTTTTTTCAACATTATTAGAAACTTCATTTTTGATCAATTCCCTACATAATGGTCCTACCTTTGTAAAACAATTATAAGACAAAAGTAAAATTCGCTATTTCTTAGTGAACACATCACTTCTGGGACTTATCGATATAACAAATTTTCAGTAAAATTCAACTGATCCACATTTTTCAAACACTCTAATGAACATGATAATGGACCAATTAACATGCCAAATTCAATATCAATCACAATTGCAATTCTCAAAAGGCATAATACATAAGGAATGCAACCAGCGAGCAAGCTCTTCAAGAAAAAAATTCCAATAATTTCGAAGCATGTTATGTCCTTTCCTTTGGTTCTCTTTAGACTTTTCAATTTCATGGTGTTGCTTTTCTTTTTGGATTGTAAAGATAATTTTTGTAGTATCTAATTTACTTAATTTCTCTTTTTATGTATAATCCCAAAACTTCACGTAACATATATGTCATTATATAATTTATTGAGAAACATATATTTATTTATTACTATTATTTTATCATCAGTTAAAATCATTTTAAGCAAGTTATATAAATTATTATTTTAACTAACTTATGTTAAATTATTGCAATATATATTATATTAACTTTTGTTAATATTTTTAAATTCTCATTATTTGAGGTAAAACATTCATTCATCATGTATATAAATTAATTTAGAAAAAAAAAGTCCTTACTATACTAAATTGTTCTCCTAATTTTAATGAATATAAAGACAAGATATAAAGTCATAACTTTTTTTTCATCCTTTTGTCACTTTGTAAAGAATGAGATTGATTCATTCTAATTTTCATTAAGTAGGTCATTATTTTTGTTTGTTAAACAACTATAAAAATAAATTTAAGTGTATTCAAAATTAATCTATATAGATGGATCAATAAACTTTATTGCTTCATATGGTTTATAAAAATTGGTAATTTATTGAGACTCATAATTTTAATCTACTCTCTTGAATAATTTTCCAATAAAATAGAAAAAAATATCATTAAATTAATTATTTAATTCGAATATATATATTTGACATGATGTTAAAATAAACCTTGGAGCATGTGATATTTTATTATTATTTCTTATCATGTTTATTTGAGAATGTCATAATAATTATTCTTTTCCAAAACTAATTAAATTTCTATTATAAATATATATAATATTGTAATATCAAGCCCGGGGTCTTTCATTGTATTGGGCCCGTATCACGGGCCTTAAATTATCTAGTTTATATATTGACTCTGTATTAAATAGTTGTCCTAAAAGTAGGCCATTTCTTGCAAAATGGACTGGCCTTAACATTTAGATCCGAAGTCCAGATGATTACAGGCCCAACTTTCACTACAGCAGAGTTTCTTCTTCGGCCCAGTTTTACGGCACTCTGTCTTCTCTGCGAACTTCTCCGTCCCGTTTCTTCGGCGAACTCCTCGCGATCTCTTCTCGTAATCGAGTTGTAAGTACTCTTTGTTCCTTCTTTCTCTTCTAGATTTCCGTAGATTCAAAATTTATCTTTAGCTCATTTTAATTGATATTGAGATCACTAAAGTTTTGTTTAATGCGTAATTAAAATGTGAATTTGATTCGGTTTTGTATTTGAAGGAATTTAGGGATCCGAAAAATGGCAAGCACAGCATGTTTTATGATTGTAAGCAGGAATGATATCCCTATCTACGAAGCTGAAGTTGGCACTGCTCCAAAGGTAATTGACCTTTGCTCTACTTTTTTTTTTCGTTAAATGATTGAGCAGCGGGTGTATCGAAAACAGTCTCTCTGCATCAGGCTGAGAGGTAGGGGTAAGGTCTGCGGACACTCTTTCCTCTCCGGACTATTGTTGTTGCCTCAGTTTAAAGGTTAACTCTGATCATGTTAGTAGAGTTTCTAGTTTTGCGTGACTTTGAATCTGGTTGATGGGAAATGTACATAAACCTCGTTTTAATTTTGGAAAACTATTTACAGTCGGGTGAATATTGCTCTACATGTGCTAGTCCAGTTGAAGTAATGCTGTGTAAAACTGATCTAAAAGCACTGGTTTTTAATTGTCATTCTTTTTTCTCTTTGGTTTTACTGGAGGATCAGAATTGGGTTTTCGGTGAGGAACAATATTTCTATATTTAGGCATCATAATGTCTTAAACAAGGTTAAGAGATCAACTACCGTGCTTATCAGTATCCAGGTTCTTTTTTCTCGTTTTGTTTCTTTTTGGATTATGATCAGTCACTAGTTTCCATCTGACCTTAAATCACAAGTCACAACATAAGCAATGGAGTAACTTATATAAAGAAACTTAACCAGTTTTACATCATAATGTGAATTATGTAACGTTTGCACTCGAGTTTTTAATGAGGTAGTTATCATGCATTTAAATTTATAGTGTGAACTGCAGCATCTTTGCCACCATTGTCAAACTGTATGCACATCTTTTTACTTTCTGTCATTGATTACAAGCATTGTAGTTGCTTGGTGATATTGTACATTGTACTTGCATGCTAGAAAGAAGATGCTGCTCATCAGCACCAGTTTATATTACATGCAGCATTGGATATTGTCCAGGACCTTGCATGGACTACAAGTGCTATGTAAGGTTGCTTTCCCCTAGTCATCAAGGCATTAATTGCAATTTTCTATTGTAAAGTTTCTTGCTTTTATCATCCTCATAGTGATTCTTCTTTCTTCATCCAGGTTCTTGAAATCAATTGACAGATTCAATGATTTGGTGGTTTCTGTTTATGTCACTGCTGGTCATATCCTTAATATGTTATAGTAAATCAGTATTTAGTGACAGCACTGTTTTTGTTATAGAAAATAGATGATGGTGCTAGCTTGTGTTGTACCTGCATTTCTCCTTAACAATCGATACAACAGCTTGCTTCTTCTTGTACTGAAATTATTTGATTTACGGTGGTAAATGGTTACTTCTAAAGCTAGTCATTGTTTTGTAGTACTCCATGTGTCACAGATGAATCTGCCTATCAGTTTTTCTCCAGTGGACTCCTCTTGTAGAAGATTAGTTCTTATAGCTTATGGAATGATGTGTGAAGTGATTTGCCATATTAGAACTAGGAAGAAGAGATAACCCATATTTCTTAACCTTTATGATCTTGAATAGGACCATTCCCCCAACAACTCCATCTTGTCCTAATCTTGGCCCACATAACCACATTTATGTCTTTCTTCATCCCTTTCTGTAACCAGTGATGATAGTTAACTCTTAACTTCGAGCACACTAAGGCTAAATCTCCTGATGTTTTTTATTAGCTTATCTTCTTGACTGATTCCTTGGTTTAATAATAGTTGGAATGACAAGGCAGACTTGTACTGTCTCCCTCTATAGCATATTTTTACCTATCAAAGGAAGAAAAAGAAAAAAAAGGAAGAAGCATGTTTTAGATGTTCTCGTAGCTGCATAAATTAATATGTTTTTGTATATGGGAACCATACAATCAGCATCACCAGTTTGACTTTACAAATGTGAACATTTTGTTTTTTGTTCCCTTGACCAATCAAGCATACATACGCGATTGATGCTGCTTCACGACTCTCGCAATGATGATGGGATCAAAAGCTTCTTCCAGGAGGTCCATGAACTATATATAAAGGTAAAGGTTTTTAATAGGACTTAAAAAACACAGTGGTCTTACATTTAAGTTTATTTAATCTACTTTTGCTGCTCAAACCTAGTAAAGGCCTCACTTTTTTGCTCTTTGGGATGGGAAAGGGGGTGGGGGGCTGCTGACATCTTTGCATACCTATGAGGAGCTCTTATTAAACTTCTCTACTTTATTGTTTGCGTTCCTAGGCTATAACAAGAGATTCTTTTAAGCAGAAACTACTGTATGTAGGCATGGCTATTAAAAGAATTGCTTGGAATATTTTTTTTTGTATGTAAGAATAAGATCAGTTGATGTGAAGTCATCTTGAATTCATGTCAGCAGTGTTTAGATATCTCTGATCCTATGAAGTTCATTTGGGCTTAATAGATTTCATTTTTGGGAGTTCCTCAGTTATGATTAGTTTCTTTGCCTTTTTGTTCTCCTTACCTTGCTCTTTTGGGGTTGCAGCACAACAAAGTACTCTTCCGGCGTGCATTAGTACCTTTTTGGTACACATCACTAGATGTACTGATTTGTTAGGCTGGTACTGTTCCAGTGTTTCTAAGATATCTTTTGGATTATTTTTTTCTATAAATGAAACACATGGTCTACAGTGGTTCATGTAACTACTGAAAACTTAATATTGGATAGATACATAGGTTTTGTCAAGTTTAGCTCTAAAGGTGTATGGTACAGCTTGAGAAATTGTTTAGCCATGAATTAGTTGGTAACTGTATGATAATTCAAAATTTTGTAATGCACAAATATAATTGAACTTGTATTGTAGTGAAAGCTAGATTTTTTCCCCCAAAGAAATGGTTGCAGTTCAAGAAGTACATAATTGAATAAAATTCTATAGTTTTATGTTTAAAACTGAGATTGAGCTTAGATGCCACCCCTGGGGAAAAAGTTTGCGCACATCTTTCATTGTGACTTTTTTCACTTATACTCTCATAGATAATGTAATGTGTTACTTATTCATGCCCTGTTTTGAAGTGAGCTATGTGCTCTAACTATTTTTAGATTTCATTCACTGATCTGTTGCTGCAAAACTTGCAGATACTTTTGAATCCTCTCTATTTGCCAGGATCTCGCATCACATCATCTCACTTCGATACTAAAGTTAGAGCCCTTGCCAGAAAGTATCTCTGAGCCAAACTACGGACCAAAGTTAAACAAGAATCATATGCATTCAAAGTTCATTCCTTGTAAAATTCATTCGCTATTGATGACTGGTTATTGTGTTTGGAGTGACCATATTTCTCGTGGTAAATGATAAGTTGACTAGTGGACCTTCTCATATTATATAACCGCAGCAAGTAGTGATAAACTGAGCCTAGTTTGTAGGAGTAATTGTTTTGCTATATCCTAGTCTACTACAATGGATCCATTGCATCTGTAAGTCATGCTATTGAGCGCATGTGAAGCAACTAGCTAGCTCTGGGCTTTCGAAGACTTGTCATTGGTCCCTTAGTGGTCGATGGTGGGACTTACCTTTTTTGCCATTAATAGCACTGCACAATCCACATGCAGAAACCTTAGGGGACTGTGGTTCTGCCGTCGGGTTCACCCCTCCACCGCCGTTGGATCCTCTCCTCCCTGTTGATCCAATGGTTGTTGATGAAGTCTTCACCTGCAGCTTCATTTCCTCTTTGGGTTTTCCTACTCGTTTTTTGTTAGTTTCTTCTTTATGTTTGACTGGCTGATTGGTCAGTTCACCTGATAAGTATTTGTCGTCCCATATAAGTCCAGACGAACCTTGTCTGCGGAATGAAACAGCCGATCTTTGCAACCCAGCCATCAACAATTGATTGTTGAATACTGCACTCTTCTCAAAAGAAAAAAAAAAGTTTAGGCAAAAGCTTCTTGTTTGTTGCTCTTGTTTTATACTAATACTCTTTTCAAAGATCTTTCTTGAGATCAGCCCTCTGAATCAAGAAATGCAGGCGACAGTAAGGAAAATCAAGTAGAACAATATTTTACACTGTATACAAGTTCAATAAGTATTTACGTTTTTCTTAATACTCGATCATCTAACAGAAGAGATTATATGTAGTTCGTTGGTCAAACACCTGTTTAAACTGCTAATTCAAAAGTTCATGTCATACTGATTTTTAAAATGTTTGTCTGTGTATGACTTAGGTTGCCTTTGAAATTGGGATCTAAAATGGTATGCGCCGGTCTGTTTTAATCTGTATTTTCTTTCTCTCACATGGTTAAAGAGAAGAGGTATAACTAGACAAAGTCTCTTTTATATATTAAAAACAAAAAAAAAGGTTAATTTAATGAATTAGCCAAGAACATTTGTACGTAACGCATTATTGGCTTTTGACTTCCTAAAGACGAGGTCTATCGCAAATAACCTCTCCCGTCCACTTATGAAATCATACTGCTATATTGTTTTTTAACCATACACAAATTACCACTTCATCAATTATGACCACTGGAATGGAATGAACCAGAGCTAATAACTCTTTGAGACACAAATTGCAAAAGAAAGCGAGTATAGATTCAAAAACTTAAAAGCATTTCTGGTGCAGATTCCAGATAGATATTTAAACTAAAACAAATAAAAATCCCGCACTTTCAATAGAAGGCAATCAACAATTTTCAACTCGAGTATTCTCTAAAAAAAATGAACTCTGCTCCAGAAGACATATGCTACAAGAACCATCTATTGAAGCTTCTTTATACCAGGGAAAGAAGGAAGGATTGAGATTAGAGGATCACCATATCCAACAGGATCTGTTCAATAGACAAGTAAAGTGAGATCTTAAAGTAGTCACAGATAGAATGTACAAAATGATTTTCAGCACATATAAGAATTAAGAAGCATACCTCCATCTTTTCGGAGTATCTTGATAACCTCTCCCGATACGTCAGACTAAAAGAGGATAGAAAAGAAAAGACAAAAGGAGAATAAAAAAAGATGCATGAGAATTTACTTAAAATAAACGTCGGAGCAAAGAGGAACAGCGTGTACAGTAAAAAAGAAATCATGCAAGTATGCATCTATAGCAGGGCCCGAACCTCGACAGGGAGCTCGCCTCCAAGCTGCTCAATATAGAAAACTACTTGTCCCTCCTTCACTTGTTGCTTCTACAGAATAGAATTAAGTAAAATATAGGTCATACGTAATACGTTCAGTAGCTGGTAAGTGTAATACCGAAGCACAGAGGACGCTTCTAATCGTGAATTGAGAGAGACACAACAGAGAAAAAAGAAGAAACAAAGAGGGCAGGTTGAGAGGAAGGGGGTTTCAGAAATAGAGTAACATTTGCCTTGGCCTCATATAGCTGCATGACAGTTCTAAAAGGATTTAGCATCCAGTTTAGATTGGCTTTTCTCCAGATAAAAAGATTAAATGGGGAGCCCTTAAAATTAGTATGCTACCAATAACATAATTTTCTAACCATATTTAAATGAATGGCCAGCTTAAAAGGTAAAACTGGAAACGAACTCTGACAGTACAAAAAGAGGTGTGGACTCACAAAATGAAGCAACAGACTTTTTTTTTGAACAAAGCAACAGATATTTAAACATAGTTAAAGGCAGCTTTATAAAGTAGATATTCCAGAATTTTGCTTAGACCTCCGCTTTGAACAGACCTCCTTTTGAAGGGAAAGGAGCAATATCAAAATGAGATTAATAGTAAACTTTTCAGAACTTCAGTAGTAATCAGTTATACAAAGACTTTGTCGTCAATCTCTTAGTTTTAGCAAACAGAAACACCTCATCATATGATTTAAAAAGAGCAAATGAAAAAGAACACCTACTTCTTTACAGGCTGGAGGTGCACGCTTTCCCTTAATGGTTCGAGATCTTCTGAAGAAACCAACCTGCATGACATATGAGAGTGTCATTTTCAGGGAGAGAAAGGCAGAGAGAGGAAGAGATTGATAGATAAACAGAGAAAGAAATATTCACTGTAATCTCACCCTAGGAGATTGAATTATCACCAAGCCTTCATCTGCAGCTTTTTCAATCATTGTCTGAATTCCATCTGAGGGAGGTGAAGATTTTGTGATAGCTAATGATGTTGATGAGGCTGAGCCATTTGAATCAGCCACTTCAACAGATGAGGGAATACTGACAGGACTGGTTATTGGAGGCAATGAAGTTGTACTTTGCCCTGTCAAGTCTCTCTTCACATATAAACGAAATCCACCAAGCTAATAATAAAATGAAAAAGTGTCATAAGAAGTAGAAGAATTTTAAAATGATTGAAGATTAATCATGCATCAAGGGGAGATCATAAATAACTTCCGTGAAGGACATAGGAATAAGAAATAAAATAAACAGAAAAGAATTACAAAACCAGCTTACTTTTAAGTCAACTTCTGCAATTGAAGTTGTATCACATATTTCCGCAAGGAGAGACTCCACCTGTTAAATGAAGTAGGTATGTTTCACATGTTAATACAAAATGTCATTGCATGCAAGCAATAACATAATAATACGGAAGAACATATTTAATCCACTCCTCAACATAAACTGAGTGCCTCTTCACCAAAATAATTTTAGCAGATCAGAACAAATTTTCCACATGAATAATATGAGTAAGATTTGTTTATGAAGAAAAATAAAGTCTAATCAAGAAGTTGGAAGTAACAACTCATGTTTTATTTCCTTTTCAGAGTCAGATTTCTGTTACAACAAGGTGATGTAGCTTTGGAGGTATCATGTCATGAAGTAATGTGGTGGAAATACCATACGAGGTTGGGTAGAAACACAGACAAAACAACTGGGTTACACAATTCCCAGCTGGCTTAAAAGCTTGCAAAAGACAATGCAAGTACAGGGATTATATTCTATGCATCAAACTAAAGGAAAGTAAGTAATATAGAGTTATTTAAATAGATGCAAGCCCGTTTTCTGAACACGAAACTTCCCTTCAACCAAGGCACCCTGTAGACACTTAGAGATGCCTTCCCGAATTCTATCCACACACACCCACCCCCCACCTCCCATCCCCACACACACTCTGTAAGAGAAGATCCCACTAGGAGTTTCCGAGTTAACGCATTACGAAGAAGGTGATGAAGTTAAGTACAACTAAAGTATTACACCAGCCAAGTTTCAACTTGATGGACCATCTCGCAAGGGCTACTGAGACACGTGGTTTGATACTCTGCATCAGAGTGATACTGCAATTTATGAAACCCCTCCATCTATTGACAATACCCACTTGTTTACCCAAACAAATGTTTTCTTACCACCACTGGTGTTACAAGTTCCCCCTACCTGCCACTAAATCTTGCCATTAAAGAATACTAACAGGGTTCAAAATTTTCTTGTCAAATGAGCCTATTAGCTGGAAGCTTGAAGTCAAATCTGCACTCAACCTTCACTACGACCTTATTATCTTCCTTTAAAATCCACAAAGCTACTCTACAATAATGTGTGGTTAAAACTTTTTCTTAATGAAAATAATGCAATGTTTAACACTAGCACCCTCCTAATATTCAAATAGGAAGTAAGCTAGGAGGTATAGTGTAAAGAGGATGCATGTACTACACAAAAGTCTGTTAGCAACATACAAAAGGAAAATGCATTGGGGCAGAGTCATGTCAACTGCAGATGTAAATGACGCTCTAAGCAACGGAGACTTAGACTCTCTAAGCAGGAGTGTAACAGTCAGAATCCAAATACTAAAATTGGTATTAATAGTTATCAAACAATTGATAACATTAAGGAAAAATCTGATAGAAATGGGAGGAAGGAAAGGGATCTGCTGAGCATTCTCTGCATTTTATCTTTCTCAAAGAATCAGAGAGATTTTTGTCGTTATTAAAGATTTAAAGTTAGCCTTCCTCCCTTTTACCCAGAAATCCCCGAGGGCCAGTGGAGCACGGTTCAAACCCGTTTAGGTTGCCTAAGACCTGGCCTCTTGTACTATACTAATTATCCATGTTCAAGGTCTCATCTAAAGTAGACCACTAGAATCTTAATATGTTTAATTTTCTAAGAAGATCCAGCAGGAAGCTCATGATGGATAGACAATCCTTATCCATCTTGCAGGTTCATTTGAAAAATAAGGTACTTTTATCAATGAACATCAATAATACCAAGGAGGTACCTTACCAATTATTTATCTTGTAGGTCTCGCCTAAAATTTATAGACCACTAGAATCTAAATATTCATAAATTTCAAGGAAGATCCAACAAGAAGCTCAAGTATTTAGACTACAAGCTGCTATGCAACAGCTAACCAGATTTTTTGAGGAACTTCAGACAAGGGATAAGCTCATTTCCAAAACATTCACCTTTAACCCCAACATGGCTGGAAATGGAAAAAAAAAAAAGATGAGTTTGTTGCACTTCACATTT